GAGAGAATTGAATTTAGAGGGAGGGGGCTCGGTATTGAAAAATCAATTCCCCGGAGGGCGGGAGGGGGGGTCTGTATTGAGAAATCAATTCGAAGGGGGGGGGTTGAATTGAACTATCAATTATTAGACCCGGACACGCCGACACTTGCTTCGCAAGACAAACTCAAGGTATCCCCTTAGGGGCTACCTTTCGTGATGAAGCAATGCGTTCAAATACTCCCAGTATCTCCCAGTTCTGAGTGGACAGCTGCAAGCTGGTTGCAATTTTGGACCCCCTTCAAATGTGGATGAATCCCATGAATCAAGTGTCGGTGCCTATGGACATTGTTGTTTTCAGTCCAGCTGATCGGCGCAAAGTACAAGTCAAAGAGATCAGCAAGGCTTGCAGCTTCAAGGCTGGAAGCGATGCTCTACATGTTGTCTGTACCTCAATGCAGGAAGAGAACTATTCACCAAACGCATCGAAGCGACAAACCGGGGAGTAGTCAGGGCAGCATTCAACGCAAATAACGATGCCAGCACCATGCTCCTTCAACACTTCGATCGGATACTGGTTCGAATACCTCGGAACTGATCTCTGCAATTTGCCAACTCTCTGAACTCTAAGTCTAAGATGTGTCAAGTGAACCAGCGACTGTGTGCAAACGTCGCTTGAAAGAACTGCCAAGCTGCCCGCCATCAACCAGCAAGGTAGTAGAAACCTTACCATCCTCTCTTCGCTCCTGTCTGCTGGATCTACTGCAGTACTCCAACTCAAAACTGGGAATGTCATCCTATCGACGAAACGCTCGCTTTCAGGCATCGATTGGTTCTCCTGATGTGGCAGCGGAGGTGCTATTCCCACCAAGCTCATCGAGGCTCGCACTACGCGCCAAAGTGGCCCGTCACGGTGTACCTGTCACTCTCCCTCACTGACTCAAAGCTTCCGTTGCTAAGCTCAAAAGCGATGTCTAACAAGCCGTTGGGAAGAGTGACTGCTTTGCAAACATATGCTCCTTTAGCATGATTGACCCTACAACCATCGACCCGCAATGCCTTCTCCTCGAATTGCACAATGTCTGTGCTCGTACAGGAGAAGGGGATCAATAGATCCTCACAGCGCCGCCGCGCGAAGATCTCCTTCCTGGGAAAGCGAATCACAAAAGAGATACCAACATGCGCGGAATGAAAAGTCCTTTGAAAAGTGGATGTCATCTTTCTTTGACAGTTTATCTGTGAGTGAGTGCAGAGATAGTTCATGCACCCAAGCTTTCTCTTGTGATTGTTGGGACGTCTATGTCCAAATATTGGAAGTTATAAAACATGTTCCTAGAAACATATGCCTCTCATGATGGTGGATATATTCAAAGCTGAGGGGTGGTTCCAATGTGCTTCTCAAGGCTATATAGACTTCAAGCTTCAGCATGGCGTTGAGGAACGCTCCAGTGAAGTTGGCCGTGCGGGGAAAAGTCAAATCCCACAGCAGCTTCCGTGTTGAAAACCTCAAAACAGCTTCCGTGTGGAGAATGTGTCTGTCAGACATGTCAAAATCATTACGAGGCCTGTGGCCTGGTAACTCTGCCTTAGCCTCGCCTACTTGGGATCCTCCTTTTCAATTTCCGCAACGGGCAAAGTGGCTGCGTGGTCATCACACGAGTCACCACACGTTGCAACGAGCTGGGCTCGGGCGCGCTGATGGCATACCTGAAACACACGTTCATTCCTGCAAGACTATGTTTTATGGTTTTGCAACCAACTGTTCTTGCACGAATCTTCCAGTCTTGCTCAACAGGTTCCTTTATGACAGCTGAATGTTTCTCTTCATTTATTCTTCCGGGAGACATGGCAGCGGCCAAGGCCCCAAAGGAAGTGCCTGAGACCACATCGATGGGGATGCCCAGCTCCTGCATTGCCTTGATCACCCCAAAGTGCACATTGCCCCTGGCACCACCACCGCCGAAGCAAACGCCTACGGCCTTCCCTGCGATGAGCCGGGCCACCCTGAAGGCAAGAAGGCAGCGCAAAGATTCATTGAATTTGTCAAAAAATCAGGAAAACAAGCTTTCGACTCCTCCATACCGTGATCATGATAGTTTACAGAAGCAAATGTTTGTATTCTTCATACTTTGTCAATCTTTGTCATACGTCCATGAATCACATTCACGATGCCCGGATGCAAATGATGTCGACATTCCATGACCCCTCTGACGACATTGATGCATGTCATTTGCCTAGCCTAGCCCAATCGCGGGCATCCTCGGGGCCCAAGCGCACATGGTGCCAACGCCTAGCGAACAAAAATCGTTTCTTCCAGCACACGGGATACCTTTTTGACCTCAAAGGGGATTCTTGATGTCAATTCTATTCCAGGGGGCTGCGCTTGTTTTCTGGATCAATTCTTTTGGAAGTGCCCTGTTTTTGGTCAGGAACTCCTAGGAATTGGCAAGAAACATCATGTCAATAGCACTAACGGTTCCTTCAGTGTCCCTTCATGCAAATCCAAAAGAAACCACTGCGCAGCTTGCTTCTCTTGTCTTGCCTGGCCCAAGACCTTTGGTTCAAGTAGTGCCGTGTTGAGCGCTGACATTTCCTTCCCTTGTGGACGAACAAGTGGTGTCGCACGAAGCCGCTAACACCCGGCTTCAGTGCATCAGCATGGGCTGCTGATCCGACAAACCTGAAACGAAAAGCGTGACAAACAATGAGGACATGAGTACATCAACACATCCGAAGGTGCCGGTGCGTTGCAGCGGCTCGCACAAATCGAAATAAGATATGTAGATTAAATCTTAAGCTGTAGCTATCTTTAGCTTGGGGGGGCCTAATTTGAATTACGAAATGCTGTGCTTTGCCATATTTTTTGACGGTGGTGAAAATAGGACGAAACATTCGTGATGCCGGTGGTGCTGGCCGGTGGGCCGAGCATTATCGGCATCTTGTGACCTCTAACAGAAGATTGGTCTCAAGGAAGAGGTGATTGATATCGTGTGTGTGTGTCAACCTCTGTAACTAAGAGTTTCGTTACCCTTTCATCCCTTTCAACGCAGGGGACCAATGCACGGCTGACAGACATTGCCCAACGAAGACGCTGTCAGTTCGTGGCGAAGCAATGCGGGACACCGCATTATGTACCTGCGACAGTTTGGAACTTTTGCACACGCTGTCTACTTTCCTGGTTTGTTTCCATGGTCCTTGCATGATACTTCCCCCTAAACCCTTTTTCCCACCGCTGACTTGCAGCCGCGTCGTCACTGAGAGCTTCCGCAGTCAAGTGAAAACTCCTTTGTTAAAACATCTACAAGTGCTTGGACCTTTCACCTTGCTGTTCCCTCGCCTTTTTTCCACGTGGGAATAGATTAACTGAAAACCAATGTCAGAGTGTGAGCCGCTCAGTCGTCCCACTTGGGTGTGTGTGATCCCCGTCACTGGGGCGCTGTCTTCACTCCGGATTACCGTTTAACTGATTCAGCGGTTTCCTGCACACGTTGGATTCTCTTAACCGAATTTTGTTTCACTTCTGGATTCCCTAAACCCAACGCCGTCGGGCCTACGATCTCTCCGCCAATACTTCCATCGACTCACCTTCCACGCCGCCGGGCGCCCATATATATAATATGTGTCACACATGCGCATCCACGCGCTCCCCCCACCTTGCAATCCCACCCGCTATCTAGAATAACAGAAGGAAATGGTACTCGACACACTTGTGTGTCGGTACCTTTCCTTCTGTTTCTCCTTTTCTACTCCTAGCTACCCGGGCGGTTTAAGACGAATGTCCCGCTCGCTAAACTAGTGCATTTAATTCATGCGGCTAAGTATTCAGTAACTAGCAGGTTTCATAACTAGTGGGCCTCGTAACTACACCTATCTTTCTTTCTTGCTTTTGCGTGTTCCTTTCTGTCTTTCTTTTCTGGCTTTTTAGGTGGTTAGTAAGTTCCTCCAGAGCGCTGATTTCGGCACTCTGTGTGTGTCAACCTCTGTAACTAAGAGTTTCGGCACCTTTTCATCCCTTTCAACGCAGGGGGGCAATGCACGACTGACAGACATTGCCCAACGAAGACGCTGTCAGTTCGTGGTGAAGCAATGCGGGACGCCGCATTGTGTACCTGCGACAGTTTGGAACTTTTGTACACGCTGTCTACTTTCCTGGTTTGTTTCCATGGTCCTTGCATGATACTTCCCCCTAAACCCTTTTTCCCACCGCTGACTTGCAGCCGCGTCGTCACTGAGAGCTTCCGCAGTCAAGTGAAAACTCCGTTGTTAAAACATCTACAAGTGCTTGGACCCTTCACCTTGCCGTTCCCTCGCCTTTTTTCCACTTGGGAATAGATTAACTGAAAACCAATGTCAGAGTGCGCGTGCGCGTGTGGCAGTAGCGCCAGCCACTTGGTGTCTCCGAAGCTGCGCGCCGAATGTTCCCGACACAACGGAGCTGCGCAGGATGTCGCCACTCCTGCACCTGATTGGGATGGTTGGCGGCGTCGGCGAATTAGGGGTCGGAATGCTGAGGATGTGGCGCGTAGCGCGGAGTAAGCATAGAAATGTCGAACCGAAAGTGTGTCGCGAGAAAAAAAAAGGAGCACTACAAGTGTTGATCGCCGCAGTGTGCATGCGACCAAAGAAGAAACTAGCGCAAATGAGATTGGGTCCACACACACGTTGTACCTAGCACGGGGGAATCGCAGAAACGTGCAACTGTATGGCGACCAAAAGACGGGAGCGCCACAAGCGTCGTGACTCTGATTGCTCTCCTACCACATGCGCTCCCTATCCAGCTGTCTCCCTTTAACCATCAGCGTGCTACTCTCGACTCCAGGAGCACAAATTCCTAAACATGCTCTGAGCTGACGGCGTCAGACCCGCGCTGCCGTTTAGCATGAAAGACGACAATGGATCGCCGATTTGATCGAAGACCTTGATCAGGGTAGAGTGGACCCACTTGCAAAATATCCAGAGCTCCGATTTGAAGTGATTGACAGGAATGGGCGCTTCTTCAGCAACGATGATTGGCGCCTCTTTTGCTTCAAGAAGCACGAGGAAAACGCGGGCTACTATGTGAATGTTGCAGCAAGAATTTATTTGTGGACACAGGCCTTTGATCGCTATTTGTCTCGCTGGCCTGAGAGGCAAAGAAGGGTCGGTGACGACCCAGACTACATACGGAAAAAGAGCTGAGGTGGCGAAAAGGACATTGCAAGGGCTGGGTGACGCTTGAGCGTGACCTCTCACACGTGCTTCTTGCGGTCTGTTACTACAGTTAGACATGAATAAGACACGGCTCCAGGAGCACAGGCGTCGATGCTTCGCCGACCCCCAAAAAAATGCTCCCAGCTGAGGACGTCACCCAGACAGACGTTGTCCCTAGGACGGGGCAATCACAGACACGTGAGACTGTCTCGCGACCAAAAATCGCAAATGTCGCGACTCTGACTACTTTTTTCACATTTCACATTTCTCAGTAAGACCTGGCTCCAAGAGAACAGGCGTCGATGCTCCGCCGACCCCCCAAAAAAGGATGCTCCCAGCTGAGGACATCACCCACACAGATGTTGTCCCTAGCACGGGGCAATCACAGACACGTGAGACTGTCTCGCGATAAGAAGTCGCAAATGTCGCGACTCTGACTACTCTTTCACATTTCTCGCTGCAGTTATGACACGAATAAGACCTGGCTCCAGGAGCACAAACAAAAGAGACTCCCAGCTGAGGACCGTCGCGCCGACAGTTTTGGCTTCAGCTTATGGAGGAAGTTAACTGGTACAGATGAGATAGGTGGGAGGACACATGATGACTCGGTCCCAATGCTGAGGACGTGGCCCACAGAGAAGTTGTACCTCGCACGGGGCAATCACAGAAATTGCACCAAAAACAACAAGAAACAGTACAAGTGTTGTGACTCTAAGTGTTCAAGTACACATGGACTATTCGCGGTACATGCTTTGCCGCGTCCAAAAGAAGTAGGCAGGTGGTACTTAGCGTGGGGGCACTGAGATAGGTGGGAGGACACATGATGACGCGTTCCCAATGCTGAGGATGTGGCCCACAAAAAAGGCGTACCTAGCACGGGGCAACCACAGAAGTTGCGACAAAAACAGAAAGAAGCAGTACAAGTGTTGTGACTACAGTTAGACACAAACAAGACCACCCTTCGCTGACCAAAAAAGAAAAGAGGCTCCCAGCTGAGGACATCACCCACACAGACGTTGTCCCTAGCGCGGGGCAATCACAGACACGTGAGACTGTCTCGCGATAAAAAGTCGCAAATGTTGCGACTCTGACTACTCTTTCACATTTCTCGCTGCAGTTATGACCCGGCTCCAAGAGCACAAACAAAAGAGACTCCCAGCTGAGGACGTCGCACCGACAGTTTCGGCTTCAGCTTACGGAGGAAGTTAACTGGTACAAATGAGATGGGTGGGAGGACACATGATGGCACGTTCCCAATGCTGAGGACGTGGCCCACAGAGAAGTTGTACCTCGCACGGGGCAATCACAGAAATTGCACCAAAAACAAAAAGAAACAGTACAAGTGTTGTGACTCTAAGTGTTCAAGTACACATGG